CGATTCGAAAAATGCCAAAAAATTCTCAACGCCCCTTGGAAATGTAAAAAAGGAAAGCCACTTTTCTCTAATCCGGAACCTCCCAGCAAGGTAAGTTAAAGAATTTCTCTAGTGTAAGAAGGAAAAAGCTTTTTTCCATCCACTTTATATCCATAATTGTAGAACTGTTTGTTATTCTAATACTTTACGACATATGTAGCAATTTTTTCTGAGTATTTCCTAGGTAACGAAAAAAAAAAAAAAACTGAAAGAAAAAGATCGAGATATGATTTTTAAAAAATTACCAGAAAGCAGCTAATACTGTACCGATTTAAAGGCCATTTTTGACGAAAAATATTAAAAAACATTTAAATTAAATTAAGATACTTTAGATAAATATACGTACGTGTTCAAAGGCACACGTAGGAACAATTCAAAAAAAGGGAAGATTTCCCTGATTTTCCCTATCTCCCCTCTAAGTTTGCCCTATGATTTTGGAATCACCTGTTTTGAATCACCCTGTATAGTAAGTGAATTAAATCACCTGTTATTAAGGATTTTTTTCTTTCTTAAATTTGCGTATTGTTAATGCTTTATTGTTTCATAAGTTTGTGTAATTTTCAAGGCTTAATTTAAAAGTGTTAATTGGTAATAAAATATTTTGTCCTTGTATTCAAAGTTTTATCTAAACTAGACTTTTTGGACTAGAAAAAATAAACTAAATAAAGTTTGCAATTATTTAAAAAAGCACTTTAACAAAATTATGAGTCATAATAGGAAAATTACAGCTTATTTTTATTCCAAAACTATATCTTTACGAAATATTTATGTAACTCTCCCCCTTTTACAGTGGGATTTTTTCTATAATCTCATTTACAATTAGTTTTCTTCTATTTTTTCATTACTTTATCTACTTTTATCAATTCTTAAGATTTTTCAATTCATTTAATCACATTCCCCTTTAAACAATATTTACTTACTGTCTCCCCAGATTTTTGACTGCATAGAAGAGAAATTTCCAGCAGTAAGTAAGACTTCGAATTAATAAATTACACATTAATCAAAATTGTAAATGTTTTTTTACGAACATTTTCCTTTTTTAAATATTTAATTTTATTATTATAGGTTGAAGGAGAAGATCAGAAAAAGATGATGGATTTTGAAGTTAGTAAAAATTTAAAAAAAACAAAACAACAACTATAATTTTCAATTTGAAAATAATCTCTTGTCAATATTCCGAAGATGCAGATAATCGGTTAACCTCCCTTTGTTTATTTAATGTAAAGACACACCTAGACAGAAACGATTTTATGCAAATATGTAGAGGAAAATTTATATTTAATGATTTAAGAATCAACTTTTATTTATTTTACATAAAATCGCATTTAAATATATCATGACCTAACATTAGACTGAGGGCGGATATCGCGAAGAATTTTGTCACATTTCCTATATAATCAGGACGCTATACCGCAGGAGAAATTTTCATTTCCCTCCATTAGTATTCTATAAATTAAAGTTTAGACACAAGAAAATTCAGATAAACCTAGACTAAACCATATATAATCAAACAAATGCTGAAATTGCTTTTTAAATTTTGCAAAATGCAAGCTAACTATGGCGGGATTACACAGAGGGGAAATAATTTTGCAATAATGTGCTAATATTTTGATCTTTTACAAATATTTTTTCAGTATTTAAAAATTCATGGTTAACTCTAGGTTTATCTGATCTGACTTTTCTCGAAACTTTAACTTTTGCTGTTGTTGTTTCTAATGACACTTGCACAAGCCAAGCTCGCCAGCCATTGGTCTTTTGAGAATTAAGTCAGAAAAGTGCCCATTTTGTTTGGACAAGAGAGTACTGCGATGGTGAAAGTACATCTCAACTCAGAACTCCACGGATAGATGGCAGCACAATCTATTAGTGAGGCCACTTCCTCAATTTGGACATCGAAGGGAAAGGAAATTTTCTCTGGTTCCCCGTACCACTGGTACTGCTGAGCGACTGACCTCATTTCGATTCCATAGATTTTACGAGTGCGTGTATCGAATGTACTCAGTGAGTTTTAACGGAATCGAAGATCAAACCCCAGGGGCCCTATTACCAGCTTCACGGAATCTAATTCCGATCGAAATGAAGCTCTCGTGACGTCATAAATCCGTGAATGTTAGTTAAGTCGTATTACGAGCTCTTGATTCCGCTCGGAACTAAATTCCGTTGCGAAATTATTACGAATCCCATTCCGGCAAGTATAAGAGTAAGCGAAATCTAGATTCCGATAAGAGTTTGTTTATTTTAGTGAACAAAA